CCTCCCAACAGGACTTAATAGCCTTTGATGAATACCAAATTGTAATTTAACGCCACAAAACAAAAGAAAGGCAGTCTGTGTTAGCAACACCAAAACCATTCCACAATGAGACACTGACCCAAAAACAAATACTTGAAAACTCACTGTTCCATAACACTGCTCGGACTAATTCGTTACGTCTACCATCATCCTCTGCAAACAGAAATTTACTTTAATTCAACTTAAAGTACTACAAAATAGTGCCATCCAATATTCGCTACAAAATAGCATGAAATACCAAACAGATCGGAATAACAAAATCTAAAAGTCCTTAAGGTGTACTTTAAACTCTTCAAGTTTCAGAAGGCATGCATAGTGAATACAATGCAATCAGTAGTGTTTAACATGCTTAAACTATACAGAAATTAGGTTGCATATTTTTAACTACATATTCTAACAGCAAAAGTTATATTCTAACTTTGTTCACAAGGTTCTAGCTAGGTGTCATATGAACCTACTTTAATTGGAACTGTGCTTGGGTTTTTGATGCAATTTCTTGTAATGCTGCTTGGTGTCCTAGTATACGTTAACTCACATATTTATGCTGATAATGCTTCAGATCATCATCAAGTAACTCGATAAAGTTTCCAAATTGAATAGGGAAAAATAGGAAATTATTAAAATTGAACGATCAAACGGGGCTTTAAACCTAGAAAAAATCAATTGGCATCAACAAAGCAGACCATATAATTTCGAATTTGACCTAAATATCATAAGTGAGAAAAAGTGTAGTGGAAATTGCAAAAAACTTTTGTCTTCATAAACTATTCGTGTTACATTTGATTGCAGAATACTCAGTTAAAATAATGCAACCGAATTTGGGGTAACCCTGTATATTCGAATACTAAGCCCTATAAAAAAAAACTACTAAGTACTCTACTACGCCTAATTAGTACTACCACGTAAGAAATTCACTTAACAGAAATGTCCGCAGATAAAGGTGTATAAACATGTATAAATAATCTTACTTGCTGTCGATCCCTGATACGAACTTGCTACTGCAACTGTGGGAGGTTTATAAGATGAATAAACTGGATGGTACATGGACACAGGCGCTTGAGGTGGAGGACTGGGGCTCCGCGGTCTTTTCACGGCAGTCTTGTAAATGGCAGGTTGCATCGGAGGAACAACTTGCTGCGCGATAGTTTGTATTCTGCCCGGAGGCTGTTGAATATAGAGCGTTTGAGGCATCTGAGGCACCATCTGTTGCAAGGACTGAATCTGAACCATATGTTGCTCACTAATAGAAATAACAATTTAAAATTACCACCAGCATCTGCAGTCGCTTAAATCGGGCTTGAAAATGTCTAGAAAACATTCAAGACTGTGCAACTAAACAAACTAAAGTAACTGCATTGCATTTGCGGTATTCTTACTTGGCATCTTTCTGTAACTGGCGCCTTCTATTGTCGTCTTCATTTAGAACTTTCTTTAGCTGCAAAAATAATTGGTGTTTTTCATCTTTCAACTGTTGCAGTTTGGCTTCAAGTTGTGAAATTTGCTCACGAGTCTCTCCTAGAGTCATTACATCTTGTTGTTCTCTTGCCTCCCGTTCCTTACGTAATCTGAATACAAAATCAAAGTTGATTATTTTGATAGTATGTAACATGATTTATATATATATGAAGTAGATGTATTTATTGAAAAGGGAAAACGGAGTATTAAACTGGATATTTACTGGTGGCTACGTTCTAAACTGTTTTACCTTCTGGAAAACTGTTCGATTATTGCATTGATTTTTGAAACATTGAGTTAGTAGTTTTGGAGGCTTGATTTTAAAGACCGAAAAAAACAACTACTAATTCAGCCAGGTACGTTGAGAGAACAAGTTCTTTAAGCAGCACTTTAGACAGAACAAGACAGCTTTCAAAAAATATATTTTTTTGTCTTTTAAATGAAGCTTTGAAACAACGAGGTTTACTAAGTTACTAAGTACATTAACATGAAGTGTATTTAAAAGAAACATGCATTGTGCAAAAATATCAATTTTTTACGGTTTAGTTCTCTAATGGCATATTTATGCTACAATGTCTTATTTGCCACATTAAACAATTATTTTGCAGTTCCTTTTTTGCAATGGAATAGGAGCTAAACCGTCGCACATCCCATTATTAAATTCCTAATTAACTAAGTTTTTGGTGTTTTGGGCTATTTCCAGTTTTTTAATTCTCAATTTTTCATTTAATTTTTATGTTTTATTTGTATATTTTTATTCAACGGGTTATTTGATCTATTTTTCTTCATTTAACAGATATTTTTTTACACATTTTCATGAATTTCAAATCTGCGCCAAAACTGCTTTTCYSATTCCCTTAGTTGTGGTCTAGATTATMTGTGGAAACAATGTTTACACATTTGTTAAACTTATTTAAAAAAACATCAATTACTTTCAAAAAGTATTTTGCATATAAAGAAAKATTATTTAAGACCAAACTTGCATATTTCTCTACATGTGTTAGCTATGTGCTCAGCCAAGTTTTATAACTTGGCAACTGTTTGTTAGTTGCCTGATTTACTTCTTCTTTACTTAGTTCTGATAAACTTTTCTTAATAACAATTTTCGATATTGTCAAAAATGAAAATACTTTATTCTTGAGCAAAATTCACATTTTCTAATATGACGAGGGCATTTTAGGTTTTGGCCCAAGCCGAACTATTTATGAAGAATWATTTTTTTTCCATWAAATTAATAATAGTTATCCATGTGAACTGTAGTATTACTACTRTAGAGACACTGTATATGTWGGTATAACGTATAAATAKAAAATCCATTCTTACCARGGGTTTCCCACATGTCCAACTAGTCCTATTTAAGTAAAAAAATAATAAAAAAAGACAAAACTAAACAATTAATACAATGATTATCAACGTTGCCTTTAGATCAGTGTCGAAAATAAGTAAATATTAAATAGCATGAGATCCTAGATGGCATGCAACAATGAACATGTTAAAAATAAAATCTAAACTTTAGTAAAAACTTAATGATAATGAAAAAATATACAATTTTGTACGCCCCATCTTAATCTCAATTTCTTGTACATATATGGTTTTATAGGTATATTTCGTGTTTATTGTGAACAGGTGGTGTTCCGAAATAATTGTGAAAGTGTGTAAAATGTTTTTCAGCGAATTTTATGGTCAAATTACGATTTTTTTCCAATAAAACTGAGTTTCAGGTGCTATTTAAGTAAAAACACACAAAAAAAATGAAACTCCGCCAGGTATATGGGTCAGCACAACCAAGTTTTTTCTCTTGTTAAGGAGAATACCTTTGGCCTCAACTCAAATCATTCTGAATTAGGTTTTCTGTAACACGATGGCTGCTAACACGTTGGGGCAAGCTCAAAAGTAATGCGTTTCCAACTAATTGAGATTTTTGCTGTTTGTGCAAAAAAATCGTTGTTCGCAGATGTTTCTTCGGTTAAGCTGACTGACTGTTTTATGAAAATTTGTTCTAAGCGTGCCACTTATGTGCTGATTTTTTTAGATGAATTAGAAGCTGAAAACATGTGCAAATGATAATAGCATAAAGATGTTTGCGACCAAGTTAGTTCGTTCAAAACTGCCTGCAAGTAACTAAAACATTTACCTCTCTTCCTGTACCTCAGCTTCCCGTTCTTGTTTCTTCCTTGCCCGGTCTTTAAGTATATACGCTTTTAGAACTTTCCACATTTTCTGATCTCTGTCTTCACTTTTATCTTCCTCCTCTTGATTTTCTGCAGCTGAGTTTGCTGTAGAATTCGCATTTGTGTTAACACTGGTTTCTTCAACAGCTGCAGGCATTGTGCGTTCAAGTTTTTGAAGCAATATTGTCGGTACGGGAGTTGTTTATCAACGCTGAACTTTTTACCAACTAAAACAACAATTGTTTGTAAAATTAACAACTTGTTTAACCTTCTATTGGACTATGGAGATTACCTCACACTGCTAGTTAATAATCACTCAAGAATGTAAAATTACAATTATTAGTTAATTACACAACACTAATACTAAACACTCTACCAACACACATAAACATAAAAGGGTGTTTTTAGGAAATATTAAGGGCGGTGTACGATATACTAAGCAAGCTGCGCTGGTCACCGTGTAGTTATATATAGGTTAGGCCACTAGTAATAGTGTGAAAGTTACACACAGTTTCTTTGTAATATCGTAATTCAGCGTTGCTGAAAGAAAATTGGTGTGAAAACCCAAACAGTATTTGCCAAATGATATTTGAGCGATAAAAAACAGTGAGATGAACTATGAACTTTGACGTCCGACAATTAGTTATGGCGGGTCGGAACTGACCCGACCATAGAACGACCCGACACAGGGATCCGGATCAGAGACAAGACTTGCCTCTGTCCGGATCTTTGAAAAGACCCGACGGATCCGGATTTTGAAATTTTTCAAATACAGGTCTCGGACCTTAAGCGATCTTTTATATGTCTAGAAATAAAGCAGCGTGCAAATGCCGTACAACTTAGTTGTGATAGTATTACAACACTTACAAAAACTTTAGTGAATCAAATTTAATAAAAGAAAAAATATTTTTAATGAAAATGATAAAAATTATTGTTGATATTATAACTTTTATTTTATTTTTGAAAGCTCCGTTGACCCCAGACTGAGACTTGGGATCCGAATCTTTAAGAAGATCCGGATCTTTGAATTGACCCGACTTGCCGACCACTATCGACAAGTGACACGTTGTTATGACGACGACAGTGTTGCTTGACTTTTAGTCTTATAGGGATGTTTGATCTATGAGCAATATCATTAATGTATCACAAAGCGGCTTGCCATTTTATACAGATGTGATAACACTTTTAGTCTCAAATCGATATTTTTTTCAAAATTAATTTCTCATGTTCATAGTCATGCTATGGTTATAATTACCTAAGTATTTTATTTTGAATGCAGACACACTAAATTATACCATTTACATAAATATCAATAATTTTTGCCCACTTGACAACACTGTGTTTGCGTATTACAAAGTTAGGTCGACATACTCATTGTCGATAGCAGAATTACATTCAATAATGATTCAATATAAGTAAGGTTATCAGACTGAAAGACCGCAGAAAGTAAATATAAAATAGTAAACAAAATAGGAAAACATAACAATAATAAATTTTGAATGTCCCCAAATGGCCAAGCTCTATTGTATTGTTTTGTACTCTAATGGCCTTTACAATCAAACTTCAACGTTTTGAATCAAAATTCTGTTTGCTAGCATGGATTACTGTTGTTTTATACGTTATATACAAATTTACCATATCGTCTCAGTCATGTAAGTTACAATAAAATTAATATAGTTCTCAGGTAGCGTCTAATTTAAGAGTTTTGCAGATTTTCATTCATATCATGACCAGTATGGAGACTTTACTGAAGGCTGGGCGTTTCTCAATTTTCCAAACAGGGATATTGCGGATTTTGAATGGCAAAATATTAAATATTTTATCACTGCGATATATCCTATAATATTAATTTATTTGGGGTTGTCTGAAGCAGGAAGGTATTTGGCAATAAACAATATACAGGTAAGTCTTTAACCCTGTAAGTATGTAAGACCAATATTAAAAATAAAACATTACATAAAGTTTGGAGTTTTACTCATCTTAAGCTGAGCTAAATGAGCCCTTTGAATACAGGGTGATTCAAAATACATATGTAAGTATATATTCAGTTAGGCTGGCTAGTTTTCAACGATTGTCTGTGACTGCAAATTTGGAGTTTTAGACGAATTTCTCCGATGTTAATCCGAATTATTGATTTACCGATACACCCCCCGAATCGTGAGTTTCTCCTAGACCTTTCAATCTTTTCCTATTAACGGATGAAATTTCCTAAAAGATTTGCTAGTTGGGCGACGAAAAACAAGAGCGCTGCCATTTCCGAAAGGAGATAACATGACCAGATTATGTAGTGGTTTTTCCTAAATTTACATTGCAGTTTTTACGAATGTTTGGTTTTCGTCGCCCAACTAGCAAATCTTTTAGGAAATTTAATCCGTTAATAGGAAACGATTGAAAGGTCTAGGAGAAGCTCACGATTCGAGGGGTGTATCGGTAAATCAATAATTCGGATTAACATCGGAGAAATTCGTCTAAAAATCCATAAACTTGGCTAACGCCATCATATAAAATACAAAACTGCACATGCCAGCAGCATAAATGTTATCAAAGAAAATTTACAACCCTGGTTGCCACCTACTTCTACAAAGTAAAATACTGATCGGATCCAGACCGCTGAAATTTCCTAAATCTTTAATTTTCCTCCAAAAACTCAATGCCATTTATTGGCTTAAATTTGGAAGAACGTCCGAAAGTCTGGTGATAATCTTGATATGGATTTACAACCTGAAGGTCGCTGGACAGCCATAAAAACTGGAATAGTCGGATGGACCCTGGCCGCTGAAATTCCCTTGCACAAATCGTTTGGCAAAATAATTTGTTTAGTGTGTTAAATTTGGAAAAAAACAACGCAAAATCTAAATTAGTATACCAGATATATCACTTGCAGCCTATTAGAACGCTATCCGCTTGACCATCACAAAGCAATAAATAAGTTTCACCTATTTTTATGCGCTTTGGTCTGGATTCTTGACCTTTTTACCTTTAAACACCGCATAACGTTTAATTTACAACAGAAAGACAATTCAAGGTTTGCGCGCAACAGGACCTGAATTGGAAAAGTACAAAAAAAAACCTACTGGGGAAAACCTGACTATTCAGTTTTGAAACATGAGTGTAATTTAATCTAAGGTAAAATTAACAGAAAATCATCAATAATGACCCAAATGATCTTACATGACAATAAAAAGTGTAATTCACAATAGAACAACACTAAATTTACATTGATAAACTAAATGTCCATATTCGAACAATCCAATGTAGAAAACCTGGATAGTTAATGTTGAAAAACTTAATAAAAAGTAGTTAAAATATTAAAATGAGGACCATAATTTTTTAGAACTAGAACCGTTCAATTTTGGATGCATTCATAGAAAAAAACATCAGTAATGACGCAAATTACCTTACGCGACAATCAAAAGTGTAGTTCAGATTATGTTGTAAGATTTTATATAAAATCTCTGTAGAAATAAATTTATGAAACTCAATACAGAAACTCCCTCGTCGTTCCCCGTTGAAGGAATATTTAATACCCCAATATCATAAAATACTATAAATATATATGACTAAAACCATCTACATGGCAAATAGGGGCAAATAAATGCTAAACCGAAAGCTGCATTGTGACACCTGGAAAGAAAGGAAAACTTTTTTAGTATAACGGAAACTTAATCCAAAGCCCAATTAGTTGAGATCAACAAAGGAAAGAATGAGAGGTAGAGGATGGCATAAAACTTCACTTGCTCCTCGAAGAACTTAACTCAGTTCAAGTTAAGGGATTTATAGATGGGATTCGTGTTACCAGCTTACTACAAGCTGGCGCCCCATTCTCCATTTTCTACCCATTAATCCTCTAAAAGGATACACTACACTTGAACACACAATAAAGTTCCACACCAAATGCACTGAAAACTTGCACTTGCACAAAACCGCAAGACACAAAGGACCTGCGACCTACTACGTTAGATGCCCGTAAGATACTGAATATGTGTTCAGAGACAGCTTTCTGAAAAAATCTCATGATATAAAAAGGTTTACCGCATTCTAAAGGCACCGAACTTCAGAACTATTAAGATGATATAATCGTTTGCTTTATCGTCCCATCGTTTTACTTTGCTGTTCGATTTTAGTTATTTTTTATTATTGACAATGTTGTAGAAATTGCCAGCTCATACGGCAATATTTTCATAGACACATTTAACATTCCAACTTGTTTGGATGATCGCCATATACAAAATAGCTTTTTCACCCAAAGAAAAACATATCAGATCATGGGGCGGAATAGAATAATTTTGCTGATCGTGGCATTTCTGCTTTTTGTGTGGAGCGTTTTTATACTAAATAACACTTTGGGAATTCCAAAAGGATTTTCAATAAATTTCATTGCAATATTGAAAAATGATACTTCATTGAAAAATGAATAGAACTCCAGTAATTTCGCTGAACAAACATCTAGTTGAAAGATTGGACTACCTTTTTGTTACACATTGTAAAATTAAATAATTTTAAAACTCAAATCAGTATGTTTGGAAGGCCACCAACGGATAAAGTTGTAACTGATGATTTTTGTTTCAGTTTCACCAGTATTTTCAAATAGCATCCCCTGTGCTTTTCCTAACATATTCAATGGGATACAGAGTCACATTGCTCGCCCTGTTACAGCCAGCTATATTTCGTATTTCAATAGTAAACCGCAATACGATTTGCACATGGATATTGAATATCCTAAGCCTTGCTCTCATTGCTTTGTACAAGAAAATGTGCTCCCAAGAAGCTTTTTTAAAGTACATGGGTTTAAACGCTTTTGAGGCCTACATGCATATTTTGATGCTGTGCTGGATGAATTTAAAATGCACCAGTTATGCCCTTAATCACACGCCTAAACGACTTGAAGAATATCTGTCCTACTGCTTCTATTTGCCTACATTGTTTACGGGACCATTTATCGATTATGAGGATTTCATGAAGGTGCATATGCGAAAACCTGGAACTTTCAATTTGAGGATGAAAAAATTAATGCTTAATATTTTAAGGTGCCTCTTTTGGATGCTCTTTAGTGAGTTCTGGTTGCATTTCATTTATGTGAATGCAACATCATTTCAATTAGGGGTGAGTGCCTTATTATTGGTGAAATCAACCAAGTAATTACTTCTTTGCAAACGTGTTGTTTGAATTAATAAAAATGTACTTTCAGTTTGTAAAGTCGCTAGATCTGTCTAGTCTGTGCGGATACGGATATTCGATGGGTCAATTCTTTCACATCAAATATGTGGTTTTATATGGTTTGACTACCAGTGTGGCTTCATTTGAAGATATAAACGTCCCTACTTTCCCTAGATGCATAGGCAGAATTCATTTATATTCGGACATGTGGAAGTACTTTGATCCTGGATTATATAAATTTTTAAAAACGTATGTTCCAATTTATGGTTTATTAAGTGCATGCTAGAGTTTTAAAGCTTACGTGTATTTCAGATGTATATTTATTCCCGCTCAAAAATTGGGACTGGCAAAGCTGGGGGCATCGTTTCTGTGTTTCGCTTTTGTCTTTATTTGGCATGGTACCGAAGAGTACATCTTTGTGTGGGCTTTGCTCAATTTTACCGGTATTGTGTTGGAGAATTTAGCCAGCAATTGGTACAAAAGAACCTTGAGCTCGTGGTATTGGAAGAAGCTCTGCCCGAGCAGCCCACGAAGGACAAAATGCTTACTATCAGCTCCACTCTTGGCCATGTCTGCTTTGTCGAATTTTTACTTCTTTGCTGGAAAAGATGTGGGAGATATTTTCCTCTATACGATATTAAATGGTTAGTATAAAGATATTTATAAAATTTATTGTTGCTTGACAATTATTTGCCTAAAAACCATTTAAACCCGTTCGGTTTTATTTCAGAATCAGTTTTTAAGAAGGCCTTTATAGTGGCTGCACTTTATTTCTGCTGCGAAGTATCAACCGCCTTCCGAGATATTAATGCACACGCTCCTTGATTTATACTGATTAGTTAGAAGTAAAATTGATGTGTTTGACTGTGCTTTCATGTATTAAAGATTTATAGTTTCTAATCCAAGAATGTTTCAGTTTTCCTATTGATTGTATTTTGTTATTTGTATGTACTTTTTTTAAATCGCAAGCACGGTGAAAGAGCCTACGAATTATTTTCTACTCACGCTTGTCGTCAAATAACATTTTTCGCAATTTCATATATTATGAAATAAGACGGAATCTTAAAATCGGTGAATAATGTTCAAATTAATAGTTTTATTTTTAATGTATTTACTGAATAAGTTTATTCAATTGGTTTTGTCATGAGGTAAATATAATATAATTGCTAAATTGATTTGTTTTTTATTTTTCACGGTCCAGAATTTGCAGGAATTTTTGTCTGTTTTCAGTTATGAGTTTGCTAATACAGACGAACATCCAAAAAAAAAACGTTCGTTTGTATAATCGATGTCAACTTTTGATTTCAGACAAAAGTTGCGAAAATTGGTAAAAAATAATAAATCTGGCTCATTAGATCCATTAATGCGCGGTGAAATTTCTCAAGTAACACACTCGGAGAAAAGTATATGTAAATACTCAACATGAATTTTGAGCACTTACAACTTCAAACTGTTTGATAACAGAAATTAGTTCTATTCATACAAAAATCTTTTAGTACCGGCAAAAGTAATCTTATATTTGGCGTCCAAAGTCCAAAGTTTACAGAAACTATTATTATAAAGCAAAAATTTGATTTAAAAAATAATAAGTACCTGTGAAAAAAGTGAGAGTTCAAGCATTGCTTGAGATCTGCTATTTTTGAAACCATCAAAGTGATTGATTAAGATTTTGAAAGTCATGTCTGAACCCGAAGAGGACTCCGCTGCAGTGGCTCATCCAGAAGAAAATCCAACTGATGCTGATAAGCCTTCCGCGCCAACTACTGGTAAGTTTGCCAATGTATCCAATAAAAAAGCCGTGAAAAATAAAAAACTTGTACATTTTTTTACCTTTCACGCAGTAAACCCGTTTATTTACCACTTTAGTTGAACATACATTTGAAGTAAATTTCCCATTTGGCTGTTCATTCAAATTACTTAACATTAAAAATTAAGAAATACATATTTAAATAGACGTTTAAAAATCACCTACATGCCCTTAAACTATTGATGATTTAGAGATACTAAGTTGAAATGAACAGAATGTAAATAAGACGCATAAATGTTTCACTTGATTGTAATAATAACTTCCCCTGTTACGATCATCCTCGTTAGAAGAATCAGAAATCCCTTCCGAACAACCTTCAGAACCGGTGCCCGCTCCTTCTGAAAATCCTGAGGTGGAAAATGCTTCTGAGCAAATACAGCCGCCTCCACCTGAAGCACTTGCTCCAGAAAAGCCTCCTGATAGTAAGCCAGCTAATGAAGAGTCACGAAGACGTTCATCCGTTAGCATTTTCAAAAAACTTGTTAAACTAAAATATCTGACCTCAGTAGAATTTTAGATGAAAGCTTCAATAGATGTTACAGCTAGAACCATGTCGATTAATCAGGAGACATTTATGCCTCCTGAACTTGCTACTCCTGCTGGCTCAGTTGATAGAAGATTCAGTGGTCTCAGGCGGACAAGCCTTCCTTCTGGAGATGCAAGAAGGTAGGTAATTATAGTATCTAATGGAAAATGCGAATTTTTTTAATTTTGGTGGGAAACTACCTACTGGCCGAAGAGGTGTAATTGCAGACAATAACAATGAATTAGTTGTTATTTTATTAAAAAGCTGTTTTGTCCGTTTTCGAAATTATTAAAACTGAAAAAATAGGAAAAAACTTAGCAATTCGAATTTTCAATATTATGTCTACTGATTTCAGATTATATTTCTTTGTTTTCTAATTTATGTTTGCCCTGCTTATCATTATTCAAATTTATATTCATTCAAAAGATACATTTCACAAAGGTAAATTTCAACTATCGTGTTTTCCAGTTTTTCTTGAAAAATATCAGCCAACATTTTCTTTTAAACTTAGATGTAAAGAAAATAGTTGTATAACAATAAGAAAGCATCATAATAGAAAATCTGAACTAAAAAACGGAAAAAGAAATTTCCTAGTTATCGTATATTACGAAGTAAAGCGTAATAGAAAATAAAATTATTACTTAAGTGTCAAATATTCTATTTTTTTTCAAGACATTCTATGAGAAATAAACTAGCACTTTTATAAATTGAACACGTTTTTTACAATTTAATCAACTTCAATACATTTACCAGTTTTCTCTGGATCCTGGATAAGATAGAAATTAAAGAAAATACGATTTTCTTTTCCTCTCTGGTTCTTCCTATGTTGTTGCCTTTTGAGATTCGAAACGGTCTGTACAAAATACCTTTAATTAATTTTATCTAGATCTAGTATTGCTCGAAAATCAAAATTTGGCGGGCTGAGTAGCAAAGCTCGAATGGTATTAGGAAGCATCGTCGACATTAAAAGTAACACTGTGGAGGGATACGATAAAAAGGCAAGTATGGATTTTTGCCCCAATATAGGTCGCTAACACACAAACCAACTTTCCTTGATCGAAATTTGATCGACAACACATATTTTGTACCATCTGGTGCCCTCATAAAGCCGTCCATCGATTTGCTTCGGAAATCTAGTCTATATCCGTAAGAATTTGTCTCGTCTTTCTTGGGAAAGGAAAACTATGAACTGTCTTCTATCATAACTGGAAGGTTGAAAGTTCCACTAAATACTGTGTGTGTAACAGAACTGAAACTTGCTGAGAAGTTACATTTTTTTTCGAAAATAACGATGAGTACCTATTCTCTGCTGGGGAATAGCAATGAGGTAAGGATACGATTTTAAACTCCTGATGTTCATTTTGTATTCATAGAATCCGTATTCATTTATAAGTAGGTATTGAAAGTGTCCGATTTAAATACTTTAAATATTTAAGAAGCATATAAATGTATGTTGAGTTTTCATGCGTAGTAGCTGAATTTTCTAAATTAATAGAGCTAGATAGTCGGTTATAATAGGAAATGTTTGCACATTTGTGAGCTGAGTCTTTTTGGGTTTTTTGAGCTTTAATAGATAATTACGAAGTAGCGAAATGGCTAGAAAAATTGAAGCGCCTATAGTTAATTAATTATCGATTATATCTAAAATGTCTTACGGCAAATGTGGATAATCGTTCTGCGATGTGGCAGAGTAGATAACTTTCTTGAAAAGGGGTGACTTTTAAGATGGGATAGAAAATCACATTTTTGTAAACCTATAAACTAGTACAATTGTAACCTTTTCGAATAATATTCTATAGCGAATCTCAAAAGAAATGTAATTATTTTCATCATAGGCTGCAAAATATCAAAACACCTATAAAATGGAATCGGAAAAACCGTTCAATCCTGAAAAAGTAGACAAAATCCTCGAAGAAGTAATGCAAGAGGTAATGGAAAATCTTCAGTACGATCCCGAAAAATGTGCAGCGACTGCAAAATATGCCTCTACTCAAATTAGAAGCAAAGTTAAACAATTAGAGTTCGACAGGTATTATTATCCCAGATAATTGAAAGAAGGATTAAGACATGATTGTAGGTATAAGGTGGTATGCATTGTGACCATCGGAGAAAAAAATTCGCAAGACGTGTACGCGACCTGCAGGTTTCTTTGGGATCCGGAAAAAGACAGATACTCCTTTTATTCCTTGGAAAACACGCATGTCTATGCAATTGCCTTGTGTTTTGGGCTGTATTATGAATGAAAGCATGCGTATTTTATTTTTATTATTATAATTAGTTTGTGGTCGACTTCTAGTTTTGTTGAGTGTTTATTTGGAATTCGGTTTGTAGGACTTTTTGCAGTTTTATTAACAATCGTTTTGCGAATTCATCTATTGGACAGCGAAGGATCACTTGCCAAGTAGATCAAAACTGAGCTATTGGGAAAAGTAGGAAATAATTAAAACTGCATATATAAGCACGACAGTTAAGTGTTCCGAAATCAATACTTTTACGTTCAATATCGGAAATTTTAGAATCGAAAAAATATAGTTCTATTTGTGTTTCAATGGACATTAAATGGAATCATAACTTTCAAATAAATACTTACCTTCAGTACATCAAAGATTCCGGATAATTTACAAAAAAATGTTATAGTAAATAGTTGATTAGATTGACTCACTTTGGAGCTGCAAAATGAGAAAAATTGTGTTTATCTTAAGTCTTCTTTATACAAGCTGTTGTTTAGAATGGTAGGTAAGATATGTAAAGCTAAATGTGTTGTTCTACTTCATATATGTATGCGTCAGCTCACTGATTGTGGTGTGGAGGTGAATTCTTTAGAACCACAATAAAAAAATAAGTATAAAATAAAGAGTAACGGTGTAAAAAATCGTTACATTTGAAATATAAATTTTGCTTAAAACCCTCTACATAATGTTAATGGTCAAATGCGAAAAGAAAACCGACGTGTCTTCTTTGAAGCATTGGGGTGATTTATATCTACGTTTACTTTACGTTTGACTCTTTTTGACTTCTTTTTGTGAATCTTTGCAACCAATTTTCTTGCTGGAATGTTGAATTTCAGGCATTTAAAATGTTGTTAATTATATTATTCTGTATTATATTCGTGTTTTGTCTGGTATTTTTGTATTATGTCTTGTACTATTAGTTTTTCTTTGTTGGAGATCTGATGGGTCATTCGCAAAATGTATTTCACATTTTCTGTGGCAATAAATAACATTTTTATTTTATTTGAATTTATTTCATTTACATCTCGGTGAAAAAACTTTGGTACAGGAAAAGTAGTTTGGTGAGTTGAGAAAAATTTCTTAAAGCCACGTTTTATAACATGTTTCTTTTGGCTCAATTAAATGTTCATATCTGCATATAACATATTTTTTAGAAATAATTAAAGATACATTTATAGAAATCATTTGCTATTAAACAAAACTCATAGAGCAAATTTTCTCTAGGCACCACTAAATAATTACATTTTCTACTGGGCTTGTAGAATATTGTAGGTGTCTATAAATCGGTATTATCTAAAGTATCTAAAGCGTTTTAACAAATCTTCAAATCTATTACTTAGAAGAATTGAATGAATCAACAAACCAGGCTTTTCCATGTCAATAATTTTAATCAATCAAGTAGTATCTCCAAAAACAAGAGAAACATTTTTCATAACGAAAAAGTTGCCACAAACTCGTTACTTTAATAGCGAAATAATATTATACATTAGTTGTTCTCAAACTGTTTAAGTTGCTGTGGTTTCAAATGCTGGGGAATTAAAAAATTGATTCAAATTAAATATAATTTATTTTAAAACATCTTAAGAAGCTTCCATGAATAAGTACTCGACT